TTGTGGTTTTTTTTTTTTGGGAGGAGGGGGAAGAGGAGGAGAAGGACTGGGGGGGGAGAAGGGGGGGAAGCGGTGGGTGTAGCTTGCACAGGTCTTGTTGGATTTCCGTAGTCATCTTTCCTGGAGAGTTTCGGGGTTTGTCGCCTTCTAGGCTCGTTCATGCGTGCCATATTGGCCGTGAAGGCTTGGCAGCGGGGGCGGGGTGGGTGTGTTGGATTTCCGTAGTCATCTTTCCTGGAGAGTTTCGGGGTTTGTCGCCTTCTAGGCTCGTTCATGCGTGCCATATTGGCCGTGAAGGCTTGGCAGCGGGAGCGGGATGGATGGGGGAAGGAGCGATGCCTGGCTGTGGTGCGGGTCTGATCGTCGCGGCGTCTGGGCAGAAGCCTCTGCTGCTGGGCCCAAAGGACAGGGGCTCTGTCGCTCTGCGTTATTTGGAAGTGCAGTTAGCCTCTTCCTTTGCGCCTGAGAAGGGCTGTAGACGTTCGTGGTGGCTTCGCTGCAGTGGGTTGCCAAGTTGCCGATGCTGCTGTTGCAAATGTTCTCCAGAGACAAAGTTACTGGTTTTTAATTTGCTTCTGCGTGATACAGTAACTGCAGTTCGTGTCTGCACACTTCAGAAAATGATGCAGCGAATTAATCCACCAGCTGTAACAAGAGGAATAAAAACTGATTTGAATATCAATACCCATTTTTATCTTTACAGTGCACCCGTGGCCTAGCTTGATATGGATGAGCTTGTTTGTGGATTCTCCTCCTTGTTTTATCTAGTACTGCAGGCGTTGCTTCTGCGAGTTGTTCGCGAAGGACATGGGAAAGAGCCGAGCTGTTACCAGTGAGATTTTATTCACTGTGAAATACTGAGAGTTGCGGGCTATGCCTGCGACTTTGTTGAAGTGAAAGGAGTATATCAGAAGTTTGCTATGTATTTATGAGGTCCTAAAATAACTGCTTTAAACTAAAGGCTTTGAAATGGAAAAGCTAGTGTTTGTGTGGCTTGTGTTGTGTATGTTTATAACAGAAATAAGAGCAGGTAGCACTCTTATGTTCTTGATTCTGATTAATTGCAGCCTGAGAAGTGTAATGGAGTTATTGCTTGGTCAATTACCAAATTAGCCTTGGCTAAACAGAAAGCTAAATGCGTCAATAGCTTCATTTAAGAAAGAATCCCATAGTTGAAGGGGTTTTTTGCATTGTTTGGTGGGGTATTTTTTGTTGTCGTCTATTTTCGGGGTTGTTTTTCTCTCTGGGAGAAGCGGAGGGTGAGAGAGTGGTTCTGTGGAGCTTGGGTTGTTTGTTTTTTTTTTTCTGACATGCTGAGAGAGGTTGCAGTGTCATGTGGGGCCTGTTGGATTGAAATTGATAATTTGTGATAGTTTTAATGACAAGTCTGACTTTGTTGCCAAACTTCCTAAGAACATCTTGTATTTTAATAGTTTAGTGCCATTGTCAGAACTGAAAAAAAGATTACTCTGAATGAGGTAGATGAAATAATGAGATGCTGAGTTGACAGAGTCTTTGTACAGAAGAAACGTAAGATTCAAATGAAGTTTCAGTAAGTATGACTCACTTCATGATTGAGGATGAATGAGTAGTTATGACTAAAAAAACATCTTTAAGAATGGGTTCGTGTAAGACAGCTGATTTTCTCAGTCTGTTGTTAAAATGCTTAAATTCCATTCTTAATTGTGATTAACACTGAATCCTCTTCCCTAACATACGATATTGATTCTGTTTATTTTTGCTCTGCTACTTGACCCACCATTACTGTGATGCTCTGACTTGTTAGACTGTACGCCATGGTTTCCCCTATCAACCTTCAGCCTTGGCATTTGATCCTGTTCAGAAAATACTGGCCATTGGGACTCAGACTGGAGCACTAAGGCTGTATCCTTTTATATTCTGAAGTGGATTTGGTGCACCTCACGCAAGTGATGTTTTGATTCAGCTGCTGGAACTATTCAGAAGTCTGGTGGGAACCAGGTATGCAGGAGGGGAGTAAAAAAGCTCTATTTTCTGTTGGTGGGTGGCCTGGCTGTTCTGGTTGTTCTTTGTGTCAGTTCAAGTTGTGTTAATGATATGAGGTATGGCTGCTCAGTCCCCATTATCTCAAGTTAATATATACATTTTGAAGAGGATTTCTAGTGTGCCGACAGTTTACAGCAGCTGACTGCAAGTCTGAAGAGAAATCTGGGCTGAGTTCTGTTTCATTGTTCTGACGTGTCCTCTGGGACTGAAAAATAACGTGGGGTTTTTTTGGTGGTTTTTTTTTTTGGTCTTTTTCTTCAAATAAGCTTCGTAATACTGTACTTAACCTGCTGCTCCTTCTGCATTGCCAAAAGATTGTTTCAAGTGGAGACACTAAAGAGTACAGGATTATATCTCACTAATGGTTTCCAATGAGCAGAATGAATTTGTGAAATAATGCACCAGTAACCCTTCTTCTTTTTGTTCACTAAAAAGTGAACTACCCATATGTTCGTGGCCGTATGATACTATAGCTATATGGTGCTATCCAAGCCATGTGATAATATATGTCTTTAAACTTTTATTTTTAAAAGAAGATGCCCTGTAGATTCTTTAATCTGCACTGCCATTGCCCAAACGTTACTTTTCAACAGAAGAGAATGAACTGAATTCTCTGTCATGAAATTGACTGAACTGTGACCTTTCTGAAGAAGGTTTAAGTGATCTCGCTAGAAAAATTGACTTAATCCTCTTTAAACTGTAGGTAAATCACAGCTTTTGGGGTTTTTTTTCTTGCTTATATTAGTCTGCAAGTGGACCTCTTTTTTTGCTTGTGTAACATCACTACTCTGTAAGGTTAATTTCCTGAAAAGGGTTATCTTTTATAAGTTGAAAAGTTAGAACTTCAGTATCAAATCCAAGTCTTAAAGAAGAGGTTGAAATGAAGTAGCTTGTAGCATATCTATAATGTTATCTATTATGAAGTTCCAAAGTCTCTTATTTCAAAGTATGAGTAACAGTAATGACCATGCAGTGCTCTTTTTGCTGTATTTGAAACTACCCTTAACTCCATAAATTTTGGTTTTAATAAGGTGGCAATGTTGACTTAAATGAAGAGTGAGGTATGGGTGGGTGATGCTGTTAATTACTCTCATATTGGTGGAACAGATGAGAAAACAAGAGACTTAAAAGTAAGGATTTGGGTTGGAGGAAAAGGAGAGATCAAAAAGCACTTGTTTAGAGCTTATTCACCTGTAATTTTGGGCAACATGATGTTGCAGTTTAGGTAATGATGACTTGATAAAACCTGTTTACTGGCACTCATCCATGACTACACCTGTGAATTCTCAGAGTGTGAATTGCTTGCTAAATAATGGAGAGAAGTATTGCAAGGTTGTGAGGAAAGAAACAGTTACTGTGAGAGGAAGCAGTAACGTTGGCAGAAAATGTATTTCCTAATGGAAAGGAAAAAGCTTCATGCAGACAATGAAATGTTTGTGCTCCCCTAAGTTGATGAAGTTGAATATGCTTCACAGTACCTTGATAGAGATCTTGATTCTTGGAAGAACTGGTTAAAAGCCCTCAACCTTGGCTAATGTGTTAGCCCTATAACCCAACAATGCTGCAGAAATTGTACCTCCTGTGATTACTTCCTCGTTGGAATAGAGGAGTGCAGGCAGAACGGATAGACTCAGACATGTTCCCTTCCCGATGTAAAACCAGCTGCTCGCTTTCTGCCTAGTTTGAAAAGCACTCTTTGGGTGAAACTTGCAAGAAGTGCTTATTTTAGTTTATTGCTCAAAGATAAAAACACAAACAAAAAATGCTTGTTGACCTAGAATATGCTTTACCCAGTAAGGTTTTCACAAATAATAAATTGTGTGCAAGGGTTCATTAAAGTGGGAGCCACTTACTCTTTAGAGCTGCAAAAGTGTTTTTAATTGAAATGAGGTGTGGACTAGAAAGACTGAGAGTCAGTAAAGAGGTATTAATTGAGAAGTAAATCTTAAAAGTGAGAGAAAAGTCAATCCTTCTCATCTTCTGCATTCATGTTATGAGAGTATCGAAGTAAAGGAATGATAATGCTTCTTTCATTGCCCACCAGCAGATGGGAGCTGGGTATTAGTGTTTTCCTTGCATCTGCTCAAGATTTCACTTCCTTTGTATTGCTAGTAAGTGATCTGAGGAATTCTGAGGCAATTTTTTTTTAAAGGATATTAAAGTTTAAATATTCTTAAGTGAAGGAATGAGCTAATCTGTTCTAGATTTCATGGCAGGGGGGTGATAGAGGGGGACCCTCTCCAAATCAGGGGTTGTAACTAAATGCTCTGTAAAGTCCCTTCCAACGCAAACCATTTAATGAGTTCTATGATTAATATGTAAATAAATTAATATTGTAGTCCTGATTGACTTTGGGCAATTTATCAGCTGACTGCTTTACAGAACATGTTCTCTGTATATGAGCAGTCTGCAGTCGGGTATTTTAACTTCAAAACCAGTATCGGTTACAACAGATTAATGTGAGCAGGAATTTTCCTAACCATATTCCCATCTCATTCTTCTTTCAGGTCTCCGTAACCACTAGTGGAGGAACACTGAGAATTCTAATACACAAATACTGAATGTTGTATCTAGTATTGATACAGCGACATATAAAGATAGAACTAAAGCTTTTTCTGAAGAGACAAAATCTGTAGATACAAATATACTGGGAGTTCACTGACTTAGCATGTTTATCAATTAGAGATACATGACGACAGAATAACATCAACGCTGTATGGAATTCTGTGAATCCATGAAGTAATTGTGAAAATGGAAATACCTAAATTAGAGGTGGCATGTTTCACTGAGTGGGTTAGAAATAGAAGTAGTACTCTCAATATTCTTGTGCCCAATCCTAGGCTTGATGGGTTAAAATTGGAGGATAGTGTTGTGGAGTTGGTGACTTGATGTGCCACAGGCAGGACCTTTCTGTGCATTTAAGCAGCAGTTTGTTCTAGATCTTGCAATTTTAAGAGGGAAAGAAGTCTATAAAAATATTAGGAGGAGACAGCTTTTAGTGTAAAACTTAAACTTTGAGTCAGCAGAGTTACAGTTTGGGATTATTCACTGGCTTGAGTGGTGTATCCCTTGTATTCCTTTAAAAAAACAAACAACCTTGATTCTATTTCCAGAGTTACTTAGAAATATTTCTAACTGATTTATCTAAGAGTCTTAAAAGCAGGTGTTTCTGACACAGACCGTTATTGCTGATTTTATCCTTAATTAGAGAAGTATTTTGTGCCCTCCATAGGAAGGAACATTTTGAGCAATGAATAACAAAGGCTCTGTTCTTCTGTTTTCAGCTGTGGACAAAAACTTGTTCCCTTTACTGTGTATGGGGGAAAGTTACAATGCATATATGGCTTAAGAGAGTACAAACCTTGGAGAGAGGTCAGATTCTAGAGCTACTACTGTTGATGATAAAACAGCCAGCTGATGTGACCCTCTCCCTGACACTAGGATCTGTTGAAAATAGTTGAGCTGTTTGATTCTGTTTTCTGTATCACAGGGGAAACTGAGCGAGGTAGGCACAAGAGCAGAATCACAGCACTGAGTGACATAAAAATCTTAGATTTATGTATCTCGCATATACCACACTCGCCTGCTCGCACTGATCCAGTTGTTCCTCTGAGTCCATGGTGCTGATCAGAGGATGCTCGTTGGAGCTAGTTGAGGTGTTTCAGTCTTGGCTGGTGGTCTGGCTCTTACCTGTGGCAATTCTGCCTCAGGCTCACCCTTCTGCACAGTGCTGGATGTCTGTGGATGTGTTTTCCTCCAAGGAGCAATTGTGCTCATTACTGATTTCAAAGTGCAGTGGTCAGTATAAGCTGCTGGTGGCCTCATTTGTCATTGCAGGCCAATCTCTTTGACTTTCTCCATGCTTAAAGGGATTTAGTTGTTGTTACCAGGGTGGCTTGCATCTTTGATCTCCTGTCCCAAATGTATTAGATGTCAAATACTTAAAAGTTCATCTGTGCTTTGCTTCTTTTCCTGTGCATACCCAAACCATTACAGCAGGACACACAGTCTATAGTTTCTAGGAAGTTTTGTGCATAATTGTCTGTGCTTTGTTTTCCCAGCAGGTATAAAGACCTTCTAATGAGCTAGAGTTGAGTATATGTATTTGAGGCTTAACTTGCCTGAATGGTGTAATTGGGTGGACTTCACACTGTGACATCCCGGCAGCATTCAGTACCATAAGTAATAGCCCTGCTTCCATGCTGTCTGTTGTTTTCACTGTTCTGCTTAAAAGTCCCTGTAGAAGTCAGATGTGATTTAAACTGTAAGGAGATTTGAGAAAGGTGAAATGAACTTTTTTTAGGATTTGTCTGTCTTTAGGATGATGTTTCCTCAGGACTTCAAATTACTAATTGTACAAATTACTAATTGACTTAATAGCTGAGCTGGGTTTTTTTGCTTTTGTAGGAGGTAGAAAAAATTTTGAAGCTGAAAATTTGAAGGAGATCTGCTCCTTGCTGTTTAACTGCTCCATCTTAAACAAGTTTCTTCAGTTTTCTGTGCTCTAATTCCTCAATAGCAAAACTAGGACAGTATATCAAATGAGATGTTTTGATTGTCTGCCAACATGAATCCAATGTCTTAATTGGTGCTTCATGCCTTAAAAATACTCACTTGCAGCTTGGAGCTCTGTCTCTGTATTGACAGAGAGAATTCTGAAAAGGAAGACTATTTCCACTAGAAATGCTTGAGAATAAGGGGGATATCCATAGAATAAGTGTTGTGCCTTCCACACAGACCAAATCATGCTTACGACTTTATTCCCAAGAAGAATAGGTTCTTTAACTGAAATTTTGGGGTGTTTTATTCTGTTGCAAACCTAGTTCACAAGAAGGAGAGAAAAATTAGATTTTGTCATT